TCTAATAGCCCCTGAGGACATGCCAGTATCACAATAATAAAGCTATAAATACCATTTCACTGCTATTACGAATGACCAGGGACAATGACAGTCCTCACTGTGAAGCCTCCCGTTCAGATCACCTTGCTAAACACTCTATGTACATTACCACATAGTAGGCACACGATAATGATCACCGCAATGGCTTTGAGTCATGAAGATGGCTACATGTTACCATACCCTTCTTTCAGCCTATAAGTGGAATAATAAATAAATATAAAAATATATTTTAAAAAATTCCTTCCAAAGTCATTTCTTTTGGAAATATAATGAACACAATAAGCTGATGAACAAAATACACCCAAAGACACAGAAGGAGGGTTCAGACTGACAAATCTCAGAGGAAGAGGGTAGGGCGGAAGGAAGAGATAAACCAAAGAGCTTGGGCATATATGCATAACCAGTGGACACAGACAACAATGCTGTGAGGGGTGAGGGGGGGATGGGAGGAGGGTGTTAATGGGGGAAAAAGGAGAAACATCTGTAACAAAAATAAATTAATGAAGTAAAATAAATAAATAAATAAATACATAAATAACATTTCAGTCAGTAAATGTAAATTGGATCAGTTGCTTCACCAGTAATACCTAATGTTTTAGGCATCACTGGACCTTAAGTGACTTAAAGAGGAGAAAGAGTGTATCTGTGTGTGTGTGTGTGTGTGTGTGTGTGTGTGTGTGTGTGTGTGGTAGGGAATGTGAGTCTAGTTCTTTGGTTTGGTTTTGTTTGCATGTTTTTTGAGGGATGTTATTTCTGTGTTTTTTATTTATTTATTTTTTAATTTATCTTTATTGTGGAAAATATTACAAATGTTTATCTTTCCAAGCTGTTTGCACAAAAAAACAGCCCTGGAAGATAGAGACTGCGACTCCCTCCACAGCAAAGAACATTTCTGTGTTTCTTCACAAAGTGAATGGAAAGGCAAAGGTTACATCTGATTCTTAACTTATTTCATTATATATACCATTTATATCCATAATTATAAAAATATAACACCCAAAAGTCCTAAATGGGAGTATTATTAAATGGCTGAAAAAATGACACTTGACAGTAGAAAACTCTGTTTCTCCACTAGTGGGAAACATCGCTGAGCGTGAGGACTCTCTGGCAATGCCAGCCCACCACTGCCGCTCTGTATTCATGACAGCAAGATGAATGGGCCTGAGTCATTATTTTCCTTTGCTCCTTCTTTAGCCCCATTCATGACTTAGGTGGTCCAAATATTCTAATCAAAGGATAGATAAAATAAAGTCATGTAAAAGAAAGATAAAAGTGTTAGGTAGGAAGTTATCATTTGAGTTCCCAAATTCACTGTAAACATATTACGCTTTGCCTTCTTCTCATGTGTACACAAAAAGTTACAGCGATAAAATACAAGTTAATCACTTCTCCTATGCTTCATATCCTCCATCTCTCTGCACACATTTAAAAAATACTAACAAGCAATTAACATAAAAATTATTATCATTAAAGAGACTGTCAAGTATCCTCATTTATAGTTAAACAACATTACAATGCCCCATCAACTAAGGGAAAAATGTTTCCTAGAACAATTAATGTGAAGGCCATATGTAGAAAATTGTATATTGAAATGAAATTGATTCATAGTCTACCCCTATTGCCTTATTTTATCTTTTTCTGTTCCTTATCCTCATCAAGAATTATAAGCTTTTAAGATATGAAACTATTAAATTAGGTGTGTCTTTTATACATTAGTAAAAGAGTTGGAAGTATAAATTTTATTTGACATAGATTTTTAAAATTAAAACAGAAAGAGTAAATGTGCTTTAAATTGAAGACCATAAAATTATCAAAATTTACATTTCCAGTAAAAAGCCAGAGGGGTATGGAGAATAGAAATACCAGTTTTACTTTTATTCCTGAAATGTAAAAAAATACCACTTGAGACTCAGGAGTCGTGAATGTTATAGTATTTTATATCACTTATTCTGTCTCTGTGGTCTCAGCAGGCATCTATAAATCCTATCTGGTAAGAGTGAAGGGGGAGAGTTGCATCACTGAGCACACTGCAACAGTAATTATAGGTTAACTCTCAATTATCACCAATTTTGGATCTACTTTTTGGATTATAGAAAGACTTTGAGGGCCCCTGTTATTTCGTTAGCATCTGATAGTGTCTTTCTATTTTCTTCCAGAGTCAAAATTAAAGAGCATTAGATTATTCATGTGTGCTGCTAATATGTTTCCTCCCTTCCATTTATGTAAAATAAAACATTAAAGTTAAAAATAACTCAGGGCATGTCCTTTCTCTGAAGAGTTGACACATGGTTAACAGCACACAGGAAGAAATCCAATCCTCGGATCCCTAAAAGCTATAAAGGGCCTGGATCACTTTTCCAGGTACAAGATTTGCTTTAGAAGCACAGGAAGCTCATTCTGGAGTCAACTGGAGAAGTCTGTGACATACGGCACATAGACTGATTCTAACAGATGGACATTTCTTGAAAGAACTTCATTAATTGATCATTTCTTTTACATGTACTTTTCCCAGCTAATTGGGGTAGCTGTCAGCTGGAGCCATGGAGGGTCTTCCAAAGACACTGGTAGGTGAAGAAAGTCCAGTCATTTCACCAGTGCATATTTGAAAGCAACTAATTTTTTCTTTAAAACATTTCTTCTCCACCTTATTTCAAAAACCTTACCTGATTTGTGTTTAAAATAAATTAATTATCTATGAGAAACTTTGAACTTTAACAAATATGGATCAGGGTGTCCTAAACCTGACACTCTTGACTATTGACATTGTGGACCAGATAATCCTTGAGTGTGTGTGTGTGTGTGTGTGTGTGTGTGTGTGTGTGTGATGGGTTATTCGGTGCACTATAGGCTGTTAAGCAACATCCATGGCTTCTACCCACAGGATTTCAGTAGCATCCATAGTTCTGACAACCAAAATACATCTCCAGACATCGCCAAATGTCCCTGGGGGCAAAACTGCCTCAGCTGAGAACCACTGTTTTAGAAATAGGTTGTTTCTAATTTATAATTTAATTTTTAAAACAAGTTTTAAAATAATTGGATATAGGCATGTATGGGTGTATTTAACTCCAGACATGTCTAACGTATTACAAATTGTTGCCTTTAGTCAGGTAAATGAAATGTATTTGAGGGAGAGGGGTTATTTAGGCAGCTAATGCTTTCATAAATTTCTCTGGGTAAAGAAAAAAATAGACAAGATAAGTGTTTTTAAAGTACTAATGAATATTAATTATCCAAGGAATGCCATCATCATCTTCATCATCAAAAGTATTAAGCATTTCTTTTCCTTTAAGGGAAGTTCTCAGTGTGACTGACTATGAATAAATAAATAACAAAATCCTGTGTTGGAATCATTTGAAATATGAATGATGAATTATCAACTTAGTGACTTCAGGCATTTTTAAATAAGGGAAAACTATGTAATCTAATGGACTTTGAGGAAACGGGGGCTGTTTGATTTTACTTTATTCTTATGGAGGGATTTCAGGCTCACAAAGGATTATGCATTCAGATACTGACATTTTTTGGTCTTTGAAATTTAGTGGGAAATGTAATGTTCACCACCTATTTATTTCCTAGTGATTTTCTCGTAATTTATATACAGATGGATCTGGAAAGAGTACCAGAGGAATTCATGCTAATTAGCGTGGCTTTAAAAGGGAAACAATGAGACTATTCTAGTTTAGAGTGCAGGTCAGAATATAACAATGTAGAGTATGCGGGAAGAATCATTCTTATATTAGAGAAAAAAAAATTACGGTCTTGGCTGATTTTCTCAGTGGTTAGAGCATTGGCCCAGACCAGAGAGTCTGGGTTGAGTTCCTGCTAAAAGCATGTACCTCCGTTGTAGTTTGTCCCCACCCCAGTTGGGGTCGTGTGGGTGGTGACCACTTGATGTGTCTCTCTCACATCGATGTTTCTCTCTCTCTCTTTCTCCCTCCCTCTCTCTCTCTCTCTCTCTCTGTCTCGCACTTTATCTGAAGATAATTGCAAAAGATGTCCTCAGGTGAGGATTAAGAAAAGAAGAAAAAAAAGAAAAGTACTAAATTAAATCTGAAGTTATCTTCCCAGCAAAGGTTTTCTAACACAGATTAGCTCAAGCAGGCTTTTAATATAAAATAAATTTAACACTGATCAATTCCATGTGTGAATGTATAATTTATGCCTCTGAATCAAGATAGTTACCCTAAAAAATTCAGTGTCTGTATTCTTGGTTAGACTTTCCAGAGCCACTGTAAGAATTGAGACTTTCCACGTTATTTAAAGGAATCATTCTTCATTTTATTTATTTTTTAAATTTATTTTATTTTATTTTATTCTATTTTATTTGATCCTCACCCGAGGACATTTTTCCATTTTTTGTACAGATAGAGTGGGAGGAAGAGAGAGAGAGAAACATCGACGCGAAAGGGACACATCGAGTGGCTGCCACCCGCACGACCAACCAGGGCCGGTGTCAAACTGCAACCGAGGTACGTGCCCTTAGCGGGAACTGGACCCGGGGCTCTCTGGACCGCAGGCTGACGCTCTAACCGCTGAGCAAAACCGGCCAGGGCTTATTTATTTTTTTAAACTTATCTTTATTGTTGAATGTATTACAGATGTCCCCCCTTTTCCGGTTTGACCCCCTCCTCCCCAATACTGCCCCCACCTGGCCTCTCCCCACTGTTGTCGGTGTCCATTGGTTATGCATGTATGTATAGAGGTTCTTTGGTTTATCTCATCCCGCCCTCCCTCCCCTCTTCCCTTTGAGGGTCAATGAATAGGTTATATTGTGCAGGTTTTCGCTTTGGGTTCTAGAGCACACTCGTTAGCACGGCAGAGAAGAAAAAGAACACCTTTGGAGATGCTGACTAAAAGGACAAAGGGTCATGCACCACCTACGTGCATGAAGAGCCGGGTGTCACGTGAAGTCGCACACTGACCCATTGGGCCCGCGCATGACCTGCACGCACACTTACTCTCTGCGGGTTCCTTAGACTTGCGGCCGCTGGACGACTTCCTCAGCAGGCTGCGCCCCGAAGTGAAGAGGCTGGTCAGTTCCTCCAAAGGGCTCGTGGGCGTTCTGGACCGGGAGCCGCCGGGGGCCGCCCCGTAGGTGCCGACCGCGGCGTTGACCATCTTGCTGCCATCCTGCGACACCGGCCGGGGGGTCGAGTGAGGCACTGATGGAGAGCTCCTTGAGAGGCTGCCGGAGTGCACAGCGTCGTACGGGGGAGGCCTTTTGAGGCTCAAGGGGGTGAGTGACCGCCCCATGCTAACAGGTGACGGGGAGGCCGAGTGGCTTTTCGGGTAGCCGTGGGGGGACTGCGTTCGGTACAGAGTGGACGGCGGGGGAGGCGACGAGGAGAGCGCCGTAGCCGCCGCGGGCCCCAGGGCCCCGCTCTGGTCCTTGTCTGGTTTGGGGTGGCTGGCGGGGTGAGGGGGCAGCGCGGATGGGGATGCTCCGGCCTGTTTCATGTAAGACACGTTTTCCAGCACCGGGAGCTTGGTGACCTCCAGCGGGGTGAGCGGGGACTCGTCGGAGTTGGGGGAGCACTGCACAGGGGCCGGAGGGAACACCAGCAGAGGGGGTCGGTGAGAAAGCAGGTTGGGGAAGGGCGGGGGGATGTCACAAAGCAAACCCTTTGGAGTACATGGCACTGAGGACTTGGCGAAGTCCAAGTCAGGCACCGTGGGAGTAGCACACTGCGAAGAACAACTGTGATGGTCAAGGTCACATTTGGAGTCTTGGCCCAAGTCGTCGAAAATGGGGTATTTCATTTCCTCGTAGACGGCCTCGCTCTGGTCGTCATCCTCTTTCCTGAAGTCACGGAGGATGTTCCCCACCATCTCGATGTACACGGGCTCCTCGTCCTCGGGGTCCCCCGCGGGGCTGCTCACCTGGGACAGCGAGGCGTCACGCGTGAGCGAGGTCCTCCTGGGGCCGTGCTTTTTCATGTACGTCTCATCAAAAGAGGTGCTGAGCTGAGTGTTCGGGTTCCGCTTGGGTTTTGGAGGAGGAATCTTCTTTGAATACTCATCACTGTTGGGTCTCGGTTTGGCTGAAACTAAAAAAGAGAGAGAGAGAAAGTGAAACCGATGAATACAACTGGAAATTTTTCCAAAATAATTTGCACTTCGTTTACAATTGCACTTTTGGTGGGAGGGGTAGTCTGCTTCATTCCTAGCTTGAGGCTTAGACTAAAAAAACCAAAAAACAAAAGTAGAATATTCCCAATAGTTAGACAAACCTGATGACAGAATAATAGCCGTATTTATCGTCAAACTAATGTTACTAGTCCTTCACTGGTAAATGCATTAGAACCAGGATTATTCATCTCCATGTCTCAGAATTTCTAAGTCTAAATCTTCAGATGAAACATCTTGGATAAAACAATCACAAAATTTCTAACGATTCAGCTCCAAGAATTAAGGGAGAAACTCAAGAAAAAAAATTCTAGAGTTTCTGTTAGCATAAATGGTCACAAACGTATTATGGGGGTCGAGTACTTTTGATGATGTGGTTATTGCACGTAATCACATTTTGCTTTCATTTAGGATAAAAAACGTTCCAGCACGCTAGACTTAATCTCTGCCTTGGTTCAGACAAATAACTTCTATGGAGATGGGTCTGATACTTCAGGGGAAATTGATGTGAAAATCTTATGAGTCTAGACAAGTTAATCTCCAAATCTTCAGGTATTGTTGATTAGGGTGTATTTGTCTGTTTTGTTCATAAGATCTCTTATGATATCCTAAATGCTATATTGGAATGAATTTATTAAATATTATCCTCACACATAAGAGCCCCATCAATAGTTTTGCCAGAAAAGTATTCTAGAGAATTACGTATAAACTTCAGGAATGATTTCTAGAAACTCACAGGTGTGTGACCAGGGCATCCCACAGCCTACTGGAAGCCCCCATCCCCTTTGTCCTTGTGATAAAACACAAACGTCTGATACCACTATGGGGTAGAACAGGCTGGCAACACATCTGTGACTGAAATTAATTGTTTAGCACACAGGGAAAGTACTGGAGTCTTGTTATTATTTCATTATCTCATTGTGTTGATATATGATTGCAGTGATTATCATTATTATGTAATGTGGCAGAATGTAGTTGTTTGTAGTAAATGGTAGCATGTAATGTAAGTTGACAGTAGAGCTTCTAGGTGTAGATCTATGAGGAAATAACAGGTTTCTCTATAACTTTCGGCCTTAAGGGAGGAGGATCTCAAGGCACAAATCAGGAAACATCTAAAATTGCCTTTGTTTTTTATCAACTAGCATACTTAAGACTTGGAAGCTTTTCTAAAACTTACTAAAGGAGAAGCAATGATCAGTTAGGCAGCTGCTTTACACATCAATCATGTCTTCAGAGAAAGGACCGATCAAGAGGCTATGTCTCTCACTTTCCTAGGTTATACCTGCTTTCAAATATTCTGTTCCATGGTGCCCATGATGTTGATTTTACTCACTACAATGAAACAGCTTTTTGAACTGTAGGTTCCTAATGTATCCAGACTTTTTCTTTAACTCATATTAGAAAAAACAAGATGTCATTTTCCTGGGGAAGTCTTTTGATGCCCAAAGTGAAAAGCCTAGAGACATAAGGGCTGAAAAATACCCAGAGAATTCTTTAGGAGGAATATACTGGCTTAAATTTTGGCTTATTTGTTTTGGGAAATATATTCTATATGTTAATTATCACAATTTAAATAAATCATCAGATTATATATATATATATATAAAAAAAAAAAAAAAACTGAGCCCAAAAGTAAAATTATATATCCTTGAACAAGGTTGACTTAGTTCTGAAGGACTTCGAAAGAGTCAGGACTTAGAACAAATGCCCATCCATCCAGACTATTCTTCTGAAGCTTGTTCCTGGCATTCTCCATGTCGGCATATCTATCTAAAATGAGGAACTTATGCTCTGGAACCATATTTGCCTTTGACTATTGGGTTATAGGGATTGAATACTTTGGGTTGGGGGTAACTGGAGAGGAAAGGAGTCTGAATAATGAGGTCCTCTGTGAATGGAGGGTTAACCCAAAGCTGGGAGTTAATATGTGTTCATGTGATAGATAAGTTCATTACATGAGAACATTCCTACTTAGAATATGATTTTCATCTGTCTCCCTCCTAAATTATAATTCACTTTTGTTTTCTTTGATCCTTCACTAAATTCAGACATTCCAACTCAGACTTGGGTAGCTGCATGAAAAAAAATAACAGGACAGGCAGATTTTAAGCATCTACTGATCCCAAGCCTAGGTAACAGGACACAATGAAGGGAGGCCATAACCCAGATTCCCAGGCAGTGAGGGGGTCAGTGGTAGAGCTGGGAGTCACATGATACTCAAGGAAACAGCAGCTCAAGAACAACCCTGGAGCCAGCATCCCTCTTCCCACATAGATTAAAAGGTGGTCTTTGCAATGAGCAAAACCAATGCTTGGGCTGCATTCATGTCAGCAAATTGCATTCATTTTTGTTTCCCAAAAACAAACCCAAAAGTGAAATAAAGACACTTCCTATTTATAAAATGATTGAAGAAAGAGAAGGTTCTATTGTAGAACACAATGTAGTTGAAAGTATGGTAGAACAACTAATCATTAGAAAAGAATTTAGAGAATCCATTTGTACTGTGAGGATAACTTTGACAAACCAAGTATAGACACTGTCTGACAAAGGGGAATACACTATAATATGTAACTTCCATGATGACTCTGAGGTAATCAAAACTGATAGTTGCTATGGACTAAATTGTGTACCCTGAAATTCATGTTGAAATCCTAACCCCCAATGTTATGGAATTTGGAGCTAGGGTCTTTGGGAGGTAATTAGGTTTAGATGGGGTCATTAGGGTTGGGAATCTCATAATGGACAAAATTAGGATTCTTTTTTTTTATTATTCTCACCAGGGCATATTTTTCCATTTTTGTTCAGATACAGAGGGAGGGAGGGAGGGCGAGGGAGGGAGGGAGAGAGAGAGAGAGAGAGAGAGAGAGAGAGAGAGAGAGAGAGAGAGAGCAACATCGACGTGAAAGGGACACATTGAGTGGCTGCCGCCTGTACAACCCCAACTGGGGCCAGTGACAAACTGCAACTGAGGTATGTGCCCTCAGCGGGAACCGAACCCTGGTCTCTCTGGACTACGGGCTGATGCTCCAACCGCTGAGCCAAACCGGCCAGGGCGGGATTAGGGTTCTTATGAGAAGAGAAGCCAGACAGTTTGCTAGCTGTCTCGTTCTCTCCAGCACCTGAGGACCTAGCCAGAAGATGGCCATCTACAGCGAGGATGAGGGTTGTCACCAGAAACCAAGCATGCTGTCACCTTGATCTTGGACTTGTAGTCTCAAAAACTGTGAGAAAATAAAGTTCCGTTGTTTTAGCCACCCAGTCTCCGGTAGTTTGTTATGGCAGCTCGAGGTGACTTAGATAACTGACTTAGAGAACTGGACATTACTAAGTTACACAGGCCCTATGTAAAGACCCTGTGAAGCTGAGTGACAAACATTCATTTTAATTTCTTCTTCAGGAATTGCAGTACATTAACTAGCTTTGTTATTTTAAGAATTAATACAACTCTTTCCCAGTCTTTGAAATGTCATTTTTCTTTGTTCTTGCCCTACACCTACTCACCCCCTGAAACCATATCACAGAGAGGACATTACAGCTGAATACAAGGATGCTGTTCCCAAGTACCCACCCAGGAGCACCCTCCTGCACACGCCCTGTATGATTGCTCTTCTCAGTTTCACTCTGCAACCTCTGAATTGTGCCAAGGAATTTACTGTTGGATTCTGGCCCATTTTCTGGATGTTTTTTGTTTGCTGTTGCCCTTTGCTTTAGCAGAGGGACTCCTTGCTCCACTCCGTTCTGCTGCCACCAGCTGACGCAATTCTCCAGTCAGCCTTGCCCAGGAAATTCCACATCACGTGGGCAAGCTTCTTCCCTCTCCCCTTCCCGGGTGCTGTCCTGTGCAGACAGGCTCATAATTCAAGCACATTTTGTTTCCTGGTCCTCTTCCTTTGCATCGATCCAAATTTGAAATGAGAGTATTCAGGATTATTTAGAGAATAAAGTGTTAAATAAACTGCAGATGATCTAGATGAATGAACAATTTCATGTCTTGAATATTGGGACACACTTGTCCCAGGTGCTATCTGCTTCCCATTCCCTATCCCCCTTATAAGCTCAAGGTTCTCTCTGGAAAATCAGAAAAGGAAACAATTTCTTTCCTAATGAACTGATTTTTTTTCTCTCCACTCACCATTTATCATCTAGTTTGATCTTAGTCCAAGTACTGAGTAAATAATTTAGGGAGCAACAAAAAAGTGTTTCAACTGTCATCTATGTTTTTTGTTTTTTTGTTTTTTTTTTAATTACCCATATAAGGCAAAGTCTGACATTTTAAGCAACATTGTCACATAATTAATTGTACTTTAACCTCATTCTAGGGAATTAAGAATTAAAGAAAAATTCATGTTTAAAATGTCATTTCTTTAGAAGGCACTTAAAATAATCTTGAGATATATACATGAATGCTGAAATACTGCTAATAAAAGACAAAAATAGCATTTTTATGGCCTTTGAATAAATTTTAAATTATTTCTAATAAGCTCAAAGATAAAAGCCATAATTCCCATTCAGCTCCAGAACACAAATTTTAATGTTTAAAGTGGTATAATGACAGTAGCATGGAATAAGCAGAAAGTGACATTTTTGAGATGAGACATCTGGGAACAAAGGTTAAGTAAGCATGGCTTTCAGTCAGGCCCAGGTGATCTGTTTTTCACAGTTAATTTTGGAAATCCACCATGTTCCTTGTCAACCTATCCTTCTAAAATAATTGTTTTCTTATTTGAAAACAAAACAAACAAACAAAACAGTGTAGCTCTGGCTGGTGTGTCTCAGTCGGTTAGAGCATTGTCCCATGCACCAACACATCATGGGTTTGATTCATAGTCAGGGCGTGTATGGGCGGCAAGTGATCCATCTATCTATCTATCTATCTATCTATCTATCTATCTATCTATCTATCTATGTATCTATCTATCTA